AAAAAAAAAAAAAAAATTGAGATTTGTCAACTGACTTGGAGTATAGTGAAAAAATGTAGTGTGAGGTCGCACATGTGGCTCAGTGAATAGAGCACTGGCCCCATATACTGAAGGTCGCAGGTTTGAAACTAGCCCCAGCCAAACTACAACAACAAAAATAACCAGGTGTTGTGGTGGGTGCCTGTGGTCCCAGCTACTCAGGAGGCTGAAGCAAGAGAATCGCCCAAGCCCAAGAGCTGGAGGTTGCTGTGAGCTGTGAGCCCACAGCACTCTACCAAGGGCGACAAAGTGAGACTCTGTTTCTAAAAAAAGAAAAGAAAAGGAAAGAAAAATGTAGTGTGATATTTCAATAAAAAATAAAAATAGAAAAACTAGCCGGACATTGTGGCCGGCGCCTGTAGTCCCAACTACTCAGGAGGCTGAGGCAAGAGGATTGTTGGAGCCCAAGAGTTTGAGGTTTCTGTGAGCTATGATGACACCCCAGCACTCCACCCAGGGTGACAGAGTCAGACTCTGTCATAAATAAAAGTCACAAAAGACTACATGCTACTGTGTATATGGTTCCATGTATAGGCTGTTTTGGAAAAGACATTATTACAGTGAAGGAAAGCAGATCAGTGGTTGCCAGGAGGTAGGGGTAAGGAGAGGATTGACTGCAAAGGGGCATGGCAAACTCTGGGGTGATTCATCATGATTGTGATCGTAGTTATGCTACTACCCTCCCCCCCCACCCCCCCACACCTGCACACATATACTGTATATAATTTTTTTTTGAGACAGAGTCTCGCTTTGTCACCTTTAGTAGAGTGCTGTGGCATCACAGTTCACAGCAACAGATGCTGTGGTGGTCTTGTGGCTCAGGCTGGTCTCTAACCTGTGAGTTCAGGCAATCCACCCACCTCGGCCTCCCAAGTACTAGGATTACAGGTGTAAGCCACCACACCTGTTTGTTTAGAAACAGAGTCTCAGCCAAACTGAGTGCATTGGCCTGGTTATAGCTCACTATAACCTCAAATTCCTGGGTTCAAGAGGTCCTCCTGCCTTAGCATCCCAAAGTGCTACAATTAAATGCTTAATAAGTGGTATCTTTATTTTGTTTGTTTTGAGACAAAGTTTCAGTCTGATGCCCTGAGTAGAGTGCCGAATTTCTTTTTTCTTTATTTTTTTTTTTAGTAGTGTGACATTATTGTCCTTGGTACAGTGCCGTGGCATCACAGCTCACAGCAACCTCCAGCTCCCGGGCTTA